GAGTTCTCCCGATCCGATTTTGCCCCGATCTTCGCGTCGTTTTACTCGCGGCGGCCAAAACTCCCGGGCAGGCCGCAGAGAAGCTTCCCGTATGACAGGGCCAGGGGGGCCGGCTGGCTGATGCGGACGGCTCTCCCGGGGGGCCGTGCTCTCGGCGTGCCGCGGCCTCCTCGCGCCGTGGCACGGGTCACGCCCCCTTCCCCCTCCTCCTCCTCCTCCTCGTCCTCCTCCTCCTCCTCCTCCTCCTCCTCCTCCTCCTCCTCCTCCTCCTCCACAATTACTCAATATGAAAATACTCTCCCTCTTCCCCTGATGGCGTCCGGGTGATGGCCGCGCACCCTCCGCGTACTGTTTTTTTACACACAGGATGCCCGGGAAATCCCGGGAAACGACTCTCGCTGAGGCGCCGGCGTCATTTTTTCCCAAAATGCTGCTCTCGTTGAGGCGCCGGCCTCATTTCTGCTCCCGAATCGTTCCGAATCGTGCTCCCGCTGCAGCGTGGGCCTCATTTTCGGATCGGTGTTTGGCCTCCGTCGTTCAGGATGGCGTTCTCGCCCCAGCGCGGGCCTTTTTTCTCGCGCGCCCATCCGCCCGCCACCACCGCGCCGCACCGCCACCACCACCACCACCACCACCACCACCACCACCACCACCACCACCACCCACCACCAGCACCAGCACCAGTACCAACACCACCACCACCACACCACCACCACCACCACCACCACCACCACCACCACACCACCACCACCACCACCACCACCACCACCACCACCACCACGACAACCACGCACACACGCACGCACGCACGCACGTGCACCACCACCCACTACGCACGCGCGCGCGGAGCCACAGGTCCGCTACGACACGCGTCCGCGGATAGAGAAAATCAGCGCCATGGTAAGGGATGGGAGGGAGGGGTAGGACGTCAGATATGACGCGAGCGCACCTAGCTTGTCCTCCTCCCCCTCCTCCTCCTCCTCCTTCTCCTCCCCCTCCCCCTCCTCCTCCTCCTCCTTCTCCTCCTCCTCCTCCTCAACCTGCTGTAGTCTTGACGACCAGAAAGAATTTCGAGCACAGACAAGTGCCCAGGAACCGTATGTTTTTTTCACGCGTCGGGCCCTGGAAGACACTCGTCCGACCCTTTTTTCGACACTCTTTCGACACTCGCTCGACACTTTTCCGGGTGCTCGAAATCATTTCTGGGATGCGGTCCTTAGGTACGATGAGAGCAGCATAATCTTGGCCGTCAGGGACTCAGGATGAGAAGCCGGTCCACGGGAAGGTATCCAGGCTTTTGGGGGGTTCAATTTCTGCAGTAGTCACGACGCCGAGGTTTTTGGGATGCTGGTCTCGGCGTACCAACAAGGTCCCCCTCTGTGTCCCGCGCGCACTGGCTGCTTCCGGCTTCCCGGGCCGAGCTCTCGCGAGCCACCTCCGGGCCGTTGCCGGGGCTCCGATGGTCGGCCTGGGGTCTTCTGTGGAGTGAAGCCGGGCCTGTCCCTCTACAGGAGGAAAACTCAAGAAAAGCAAAACAATAATATGGGGACGAATCTTTTAAACCATGTTAGAACTATTTTTGAATGTGTGTGTTGGGGTACGTTTGATTGTTCGTCCGAAATCCCCCTGCAGGGGGACATGCCCGACCTGAAGGCGGAACGAGCGAGTGCTGGGAGGGGCTCGGGGCAGACCAGTCCCGGGCCCCCTCGGGGCGTCGGTGCTTCCTCTCCTCTTGGCTTCTCGGATCCTGTGCCACGGCTCCTGAGGGAAGAGGTGGTCCCTGGGGATAGGGCGCGGATTAGGGCGGGGGCGCTCAATTGCTGCCGAGCGCGTGCCACTACTCGCAAACGCCCGAAAAAACGCATATCTGCTTTGATAGAATTCATCGTAGATCCCCCGCGACGGATCCAGGTGATTTGCGAGTAGCTACTTGGAGAGTAGTGGAACGTGCTCGTCTTATTCGGGGGGTGGGGGGGGGGGGAGACAGGTGCCCTTTTCGGGTCCTCGAGGCCCTCTTTGGGGCCCCGTTTAGGGGGCCCCGTTTATGGGCCCCCGTTTAGGGGGGCCCGTTTGGGGGCTCTACAGGGCCCTTTTTCGGCAGCCCTCGCTGCCCCCCAACCATTTATCGCCGCCCAAGGCACGAGGTCCACACCGTTGGGGGTCTACGTTCGAGAAAAATCATGAGGTCGGGACTCTGCGTCTAGACGATCTTGATCGTCCTGGAGCGGCATCATGGCCCCTGACGGAATCGCGTAGAAATCCTGGGCAGAGCGCGCCCCGGGCGAGGTCCAGGGGCCGATTGGCATTGTCGCACCCCCGCCTGCTCGCGCCGCGAAACAGATACACAAGGCAGATTGTTTCTGGCAACGTTCGGCCTCCGAGGTTTGTGATGTTCCAACCCAACCTGTCTTAGCCTTGCTCATCGGGAAAACGTTCGAGCGCCAGGAAAGTACCGACATGTCAGGGTTCTCACGTGTCGGGCACTGTCTCGGCACTTGTCCGGGTGCTCGACACTATCTCTGGGATGTGCTCCTTCAGTACGATGGGAGCCACTAGGGGGCCGCATGCGAACCCTACCCCTGCCCCCCACGATTCTGAGGGGCAGGGTGGGGTTCACTTAATTCAGGAGCTCCCGAGCGAAGTGAACCCCCCCCCTCCCCCTCGGAAGTCGTGGGGGGCAGGGGTGGGGTTCGCATGCGGCCCCCTAGCAACATCATGCGAGGGGCACCTCTGCGGGGCCCCGGTGCGGCCAAGCAGCGGCGCGGACGCTGCCCCACGTGGGGAGGCATCACGTCGTGTTAGCACGCCCCGCGCGGCGATCCTGCTCCCGACCCGGCGGGGGGTCGGGGAGGGAGCCTCGTGCACGTCGAGCCTCCATCACAGACTTCCAGTCGGGCCTGCCCCTCCCCCCCCCCCCCCTCCTCCTCCCTCCTCCTCCTCCTCCTCCTCCTCCTCCTCCTCCTCCTCCTCCTCGTCCTCCTCCTCCTCCTCCTCCTCCTCCTCCTCCCTGCCCTTCGAACGTCCAGGGTTCTGGAGGGTTGTGTACAGCACCGTGGAACCATAGTGTGTCTCTGCGCGTCCCAGCCATCAGCGTCCAGGGAGCGAGCCCTGAGCCTCGATCTCCGAACCTCCCACGCCCCGCCCACGGCGGCGACGACGCGGCGGCGGCGACGTCGCCGCCGCCGCCGTCGTCGCCGGAGGAGGGGGAGGAGGAGGAGAAGGAGGAGGAGGAAGTGGAGGAGCGAGGAGGAGCGAGGTGCTGGAGCGGATGCTGCTCCAGCTCGGGACCGACCCATGGGGACCGAACATCGTGAAGCACCGTGCGTGGTGATATCGCTCCCGACCCGCAGGGGGGTTGGGGGGAGCGAGCCTCGTGCACCTCGAGCTTCCATCATCAGCGTCCAGAGATCAGGCGATCGCAAACATGGATCAAGGGGGCGTGGATCAGCGACGGGTCCCTTTCCCATGGGAAATCGCAGATTTCCGCCGCCGAGCGAGGCGGCATTGGCTGCATTTTGGGGAGGGCTTTCCCCAAATCCATCGATTCGGCGTAACCCCAGCATAGCATATGTATTCGGGGAAGCGTGAGACTCGAGCAAGGCGGAACCCGGGTTTGCCGACTCTTTTTTGGACGAGCGCGTCCTGGCTTTTGACGGTCCCACTGTCGTGGGATGTCTGCAGCGTGAGCCCGCGTCAAATTTCAAATTGGGTCGCGTAATTTCACACTTGCCCCCTTCGGGCCAACCCGAGTCCCCCGTACCCGTATCTTATAGATAGTATATGTGCGTGTGTGTGTGTGTGTTAATGTGTGTGTGTGTTTGTGTGTACGTGTGTGTGTGTGTGCGTGTGTGTGTGTGTGTGTGTGTCGTGGCGGGCGTTTTCTGGCCACACCGCTCGGGAAACGGTAGGTCTACTACAAGATGTCTGGCCACACCGCTCGGGAAACGGTAGGTATACTACAAGACGGGTATACTATATGTTCGGGTCGGACGCGCGCATCCAAGGAGACCAAATAGTGCTGTAGTATGTCTTCGCGCGTCCCAGTCATCCGCGTCCAGACAGCGAGCCCTGAGCCTCGATCTCCGAACCTCCCGCGCCCCGCCCACGACGGCGGCCAGCGAGGTTCAGGAGGGGAAACAAAGATACGCAGACACACTGAGTCGTCGATTCCCCCGAAAATGTGGAAAATGTGGGACGTGGGGGAGATGAAGATCCAGAAATATAGGAGAAAGTATAGGGGGAATCCGGGGAGTTGTGCGTATTGATTTGTGTGTCCCTGGGCCCCCGCGACAGAGGCGGCTGCGCGGCGTGGCGGGGCGCCCTCCAGGCTCGATGGGAGACCCGCCCGAGGGCGCCGGACTGATCAAGTGCATACGGCCTGGTTGCGGGCCGCGCGCCTGGGCCCTCCTCCCCCCCGCTCCCTTCCTCCCGCCCCCTCCGTTGGCATCGCTCGGACGTGTGCATTTTTCCTTCGGCGAGGACCATCAAGGAGCATCCTTGATCATTTGGCGAAAAAACCACGCACGAAAGCGAAAAAAGCACAGGGAATGGACGTCCGAGCCATGGCCAGCCTCCTGCCTCTCTGCCACAGGCCTCCGCTGGATGGTGACATCGGGCCGAACGAGAGGGGGGATAGGGAAAGGGGGGGGTACGAAGTCTGCTGGTTTCGGCCCCGCCGCCGGGCTCATTCCTCGATACATGGGCGCCTCCCGGCGCCGGGAGGCGCCGGGAAAGTCAGCTGCGCGCGCTGATTCTGAACCCCCCCCCCTGGGCTACCCCCCCCCTGTCTTACCAGTTTGAAACAGATCCCTATCCCTATGTTTGAGACCACCTCACTCCCGGTGCCGATCTGAAGGATTCCCTCAGTTTCTGAGGGCCTGTCCCTAAGATTGTCCTCGCTCTTTGCTCGCCCATCCTAGGGATGGGGATCTGTTCGAGGCTGGTTACTTTTCGCCCGGCCCGAGACAACAAGAGTGCGTCCAATTGGCCCCCCCCCGGAGGTGCTGCAGCGGATGCTGCTCGCGGCGCGGGAGGGCGGGCTGCACCTCAGCTTCACCCTGGTGGAGGGCGGGCCCGGCGGGGAGCTGTACCACACGGCCGGGGGCCGGGGTCGGCCACGCGCAGCGGAGGGCAGGGGGCTGCGATTCAGTCGGGCCTGTCCCCCTACAGGGGGATTCTGGACGAAAGCTAAAAAGTACGCCAAAAGCATTCCAACATGGTCACAAAGTGCTAAACAAATAGTCCCCGGACTCTGTTTGGACTATTTTTGGAGTCTTTTGGGGGTATTTTCAATTTTTCGTCGACAATCCCCCTGTAGGGGGACAGGCCCGACTGAAGGTTATGATGTTCCAACCTATTTTAGCCAGGGAAGTACCAACAATTGCCGGGTCTTCACGCGTCGGGCCTCGGGAGGCACGCCTTCGACGCTTCTTCGGCACTGTTTCGGCACTTGTACGGGTGGTGGATTCGCGACCGTTCTCGCCTTCGTAGCCACGGCTGGATCCGCTTCGAATTTGTGTGGGCAGAGCGCACCCCAGGAGAGATCTAGGCGTCGATCGTTGGCCAGCTGCCCTTTTGTCGCCCAGGTTCGGACCCTGGGACCCTCAGGGATCGAACGAACGATGGAGTTCGTGGTGTTGGTCGTGATTGTTCACGATGCTGCAGTTTGTCGCGCTGTCGGATCTCAGGGGCATGTCTCCTGGTCTGCCAGGTGGGGTCAAAACAAATCAGAGCAAAGCCACATTTTCGACGCATCAGCGATGCGGCTCGATGGGGGCCCCAATTATAGCCACGTCGATGCGTCACCGACGTCAACGATGCATTGCCGATGCGTCGGCGATACATTTGCGATGCAGCGTGATCTTCCGACCCCATCTACTCGGACCCCATTTGGGGGGTCTTTGATGATCGATTCTCGAAGTTCCCTGCCCCCCTCGCGCCATGGAAAATTCAAGATGTCAGTTTATTTCTTACTGCTTCGACTTCCGTGGGTCGAACAAGGTGAACGGTATTCGGCAATGTTCGTTCTTGGAGGCCCTTACAGGCGGTTCAGGTTCAAACGCCAGTCCGGGGAGAGTGGCCTAAGAGGGTCCTCTTTGTGAAAACAGCCTGAGGTTCGAGGGGAGAGGATGGAGGAGAAGGGGGGAGGAGAAGGAGGAGGAGAAGGAGGAGGAGGAGGAGGAGGCGGCACCGATCGGTGTCCCAGGGTGGCGGTTTGGCACCGACAGAACAAGTGCCCTCTATCTAATCGAGGACGCCTACGGCGAATCGCCGCCGCCTCCTCCCTTTTTAGAAGCGCCTGCGTGGCCGAGAGTTGGGTTTGAGCTTGGCCAAACTATCGGGCCACGCGTTCCCCGAGTGGGTTTCGAAAGCCTCCGGAGAACACGGAGTCGGGCGAGCTATCGGACCAGGTGGATTCCGAGCTTTCGGGCCTCCTGGAGGTCGTCTTGGAGGGGTCTTGGGCCGTCTTGGAGGCCTCTGGCGGGCCTTCTGGGCAGTCTAAGGCCATCTTCAGGCCATCTGGGGCCGTCTTGGGTGCATATCTGGGCCATCTTCGCCGTCTTGGAGGCCTTCTTGGCCGTCTTGGAGGCATCTTGGAGGTCATCTTGGCCGTCTTGGAAGCCATCTTGGGCGTCTTGGGGGCCTCTTGGGCGGGACGGGCCGAAGCACCAGTCGGAGTTCTTGTGGGAACGGAACCAGAGCCACAAGCGAAAGGGTCTAGCACGCCAGGCACCCCTGTGATGAATCAGCAGGGGGCGGCGGACCCATCGGTTATATGTCCCAGCTGGATCGGACAAGTACCACTCGAGGCAAGCCGACTGTATGCCTGGAGTGCCTGGGTCGTGGGCATGGAGCCTATTGAATGTTTGTTGGGATCTCGTGGGATGTCTCTCGGGGGCCGTCTTGGAGGCAGCTTGGGGGCTTCTTGGGGGGCGTTTTGGGGCCTCTTGCGCCTCTTTCGGGCCTCTAGGGGGCCTCTCGGGGGCCTCTTGGGGGTTTCTTGGGGCCTCCTGGGCGCCTCTTGGGGCCTCCTGGGGGACTCTTGGGGCGGAAGGCTTGGATTCTCGGTTCGTGTTCTCTCTCTTGGGCTTCTTTTGGGGCCGTCTTCGCGCCCTCTTGGGCCGTCTTCGGCGCCTCTTGGGCCGTCTCGGGATGCTCTTGGGCCGTTTTGGAGTTCTCTTGGAGGTCCTTGGTCCGTCTTGGGGCGGTCTCGGAGGCCTCGGGGGCCGTCTGAGAGCGTCGGGAAGCCACGAAGTCGAGACCGCCAACATTTGTAGAACACCTGCGGCAAATCAATGATTTTGGTTTCTTGGGGTTCTCTGGAGTGGAGGCCTCTGGTGGCGTCTTCGAGGCCTCTTTGGCCGTCTCGGGGCCATCTTGGGCGTCTTGGGGCGATCTTTGGGCGTCTCGGTTCCCTCTTGGGCTGTCTTGGAGGTCTTTTTTCTGCTCTCTTGGCTGGTCTTGGTGCTCTCTTGGGTCGCAAAAAGTCACGCGAGAAGCTGCCGGGGAGCCAACGAAGAGGACGAGGAAACTTCGGGGAGCACGTGAAGAGGAATATGCAATGAGAAGGAGGCATAATAAAAATAACATGCGAAAGAGGAGGAGGAGGAAACAAAACAAGGAGGAGGAGAAGGCGGACCCGAAAACGGAAGAGACCTTTTGGGAGTCACTGGGGAATCTTGGGGCCACCTGTGTGATTCCTGGCTTCTTGGCGGCCACTCTGGCCGTCTTGGGACGGTTTTGGCCCATCCGACGCCGTCGGGGGCGTTTCTGGCCCGTCAGACTCCGTCGGAGGCTACTGGGAGAGCCTCGCTGGAGTTTCTTGGGGCGTTTCTAAGCCGTCTCCTTGAATCCCTATGGCCAAACGTTTGGAGCTAGACATTCGCGAAGCTATCAGACCAGGTGTTCCCTGAACTGCTGTGGGAAACCTCTTGGGGAACGCTTGGAGGAGCATGGCGCGGAGGATCAGGAGAGGCAGGAGGAGGAGCAGGAGGAGGAGGAGGAGGAGGAGGAGGCGTTTCGGAAGCTTCTTGAGACACACTTCGAGCCTCTCGGAGGCCTCTTGGGGGCTTCCTTGAGCCTCTTGGGAGCTCTTGGGGGCTTCTTGGGCCGTCTTGGGGGCGTCTTGGCCGTCATGGGGACATCTTGTAGCCTCTTGGGCCATCTTGGGGCGATCTTGGGGCCCTCTTGGGCCGTCTTGGATCGTCGGAAGGCCGCAAGGAGGCAAATGCGAACATTCCAACCACCTAAGGCAAATCATTGACTTTGGCTTCTTCGGGCCTTCCTGGAGGACGTCGTGGAGGCATCTTGGGCTGTCTTGGAGGCATCTTAGGCGCCTCTTGGGCCACCTTCGGCTCTCTTGGGGATATTTCTGTCGTCTTGGATGCCATCTTGGTTGTCATGGAGGTCATCTTGACAGTCTTGAGGTATCTTGGAGACCATCTTGGTAGTTTCTGAGACCTCTTGGGCCGTCTTTGGGCCCTCTTGTGGCTGGCTTGAATGCCTCTTAGGCCGTTGTGGAGCCATATGGGAGGCCCATGGGACTAGATTAGGGACTCCTTGGGCCGTCTTAGGCAGTCGGAACACCAAAACCGAGGAAAAACCAAAGTCCTTCAACGACCTACCGAAAATTTGAGATTTTGGCTCCTTCGGGCCGTCCTGGGGCACCTATTGAACTTGGAACCTCTGGGGCCCATCTTGGGCCATCTTGGCCGTCTTCGCGGCCATCTTGGCCGTCTTGAAGCTCATCTTGACCGTGTTGGAGGCATCTTGGAGGCCATCTCGGCCGTCTTGGAGACCGTCTTGGGGGTCTTGGAGGCCTGTGGAGCCGTCCTGGCGCCCTCTTGGGGCCGTCTTGGGAGCCTCTTGGGCCGTCATAGGGCCATCTTGGAGGCCTCTTGGGCTCCTTGGGCCGTCGTGAGCCGTCGGAAGGCTCGAAAAGAACAAACGCCAAAATCCTTCAAAAACCGAAAGAAAACATTGATTTTGATCTCTTCGGGCTCTCGTGGAGGACCTCTTGGAGGCCTCTGGGGCCGTCTTGGAGGCCTCTTCGAGGCCTCTTGGGCTGTCTTGGGCCGTCTGAGAGGTTTCTTGTTTGAACTTGGAGGCATCTTGCACTCTCCTGGGCCGTCTTGGAGGCCATCTTGGACCATCTTGGGCGAACCTGGAGGCCATCGTGTGCCATCTTGGCCATCTTGGAAGCCATCTTGGAGCCATCTGGAGCAGGAACATCTTTTGGAGCCACCCTTTCCGGGGCATTCCGGGGCCCCGGCGGGGATGCCTGGGGGTGCCTGGCGTGCCAAATTCTTTTGCTTTTGGTTTTGGTGCGTTTTCCCCCTGAGGTTTCGGCCCCGCCCGCCGGGGTCCCGAAACGGCCCGGAAAGGGTGGTTCCAAACGTTCTTTTTGCTCCAGATGGCTCCAAGATGGCTGTCAAGATGGCCAAGATGGCCCAAGATGGCCTCCAGGTTCGCCCAAGATGGTATGTCCCCAAGACGGCCCAAGAGAGTCCAAGATGCCTTTAAGTTCGTCCAAGAAGCCTCCAAGACGGCCCAAGATATCTCCAAGATGGCCTGAGACTGCCCAAGACGGCTCCAAGAGGCCTCCAAAAGCTCCACCAGGAAGGCCCGAAGATGCCAAAATCATTGATTGCCCTCAGGTTTTTTAAGGACTTTGGTATTTTTCTTCTTTTCAGTTCTCCGACGGCCCAAGAGGCCCCCAACATCGCCCAAAGAGCGCCCCAGAGGCCTCCAAGATGACCCCATGACGGGCCAAGAGGCCCCCGATAGGGCCCCAACAAGAACCCAAGATGGCCCAAGAGGCCCACAAGACACCCGAAATGGCCTCCAAGACTCCCAAAATGGCCTCCAAGATGCCTCCAAGACGGCCAAGGAGGCATCAAGACGGCGAAGATGGCCCAAAAATGCACCCCAGACGGCCCCAGATGGCCTGAAGATGGCCTTAGACTGCCCAAAAGGCCGCCAGAGGCCTCCCGTAGCCATTTTGGCTCAAGCTCGTTCGGCTCCAGCTGTTTCTGCTGACCAGCCTTGCCACACCGCTCCTCACCAGCGCAATGCCCCGCCGCTCGTCGTCCCACATCGCCGCCGCCGCACTTTGCGTGGCGGCCGTGATGTGCCTGGCCAGCCTTGCAGCGCCCACGTTCGTGCCAGCGCCGGCCGCCCCCGCCGAGAGAGCCGTCACGCCGGCACGCGCGGCTCAGATGGCGGTGCTCGGCGCGGCGATCACGGCACCCGAGGCGGCACACGCGGCGAACCAGGGGTACGCGGTGCTGCAGCTGGGCTGGGCCGTCTTCATCATCGGTCTGGGCCCCGCGGTGCTGTTCTGGATCTACTTCAACAAGCCGGAGCTGCTGTGAGCGGCCTAACGCCTCGAGTCCCTCGCGAGGTTATGCTACCATTCAGCCTGCGGGACACGCCGGGGGCACCCAGCTTGGGCACGTAGCCTGAACGCGGCTGCGATTTGTGAAGTGCTTTTTGTGTCCGCCAGTAGGCCCTCTGTAAGGAAGTAGGCTCGCGCTGGACAAAAAGAAAGGCCCGCCAGAGGCCTCCAAGACGGCCCAAGACCCCTCCAAGACGTCCTCCAGGAGGCCCGAAAGCTCGGAAACCACCTGGTCCGATAGGTCGCCCGATTCCGTGTTCCCCGAAGGGTTTCGAAGCCCATTCGGGGAACGCGTGGCCCGATAGTTTGGCCAAGCTCAAACCCAGCTTTCGGCCACGCAGCCGCTTCCAAAAGGGCAGGGGGCGGCGGTGATCCGCCGTAGGCGTCTTCAATTAGATAGAGGGCACTTGCTCTGTCGGTGCCAAACCGCCACCCTGGGACACCGATCGGTGCCGCCTCCTCCTCCTCCTCCTCCTCCTCCTCCTCCTCCTCCTACTCCTACTCCTCCTCCTCCTCCTCCTCCTCCTCCTCCTCCTCCTCCTCCTCCCTCACCTCCCCTCTTCTCCTCCCGCCTCCTTTTGGGAAGAGAACCAAACCAAAAGCGAAAGGATTCAGCACGCTGGGCACCCCTGTGATGAATCAACAGGGGGCGGCGGATGGCCTTCGGCCCATCCAGCCGCCGTGCGCGAGTCAGACTTATCCGGGATGCGCCTTGGGGTCTCGTCAGAGCGCTCGCGGAGGCCCCTCGGAGACAGTTTTGGGGCCTATCGGAGCCTCTTGGGGGTCTCTTGGGGCCTCTCGGTGGGCCTCTTGGGGCCTTCTGGGGGGCCCTCGGGGCCGAGGTCTCAAAATGTTCGTTCGGTTCCCCATTTGGGCTCCTTCTTGGAGCCGTCTGTGGTCTCTGTTGGGCCGTCTTGGGCGCCTCTTGAGCCGTCTGGGGGCCGTCTTGGGCCGTTTTGGGGCCCTCTTGCGTTGCTCTTGGGCGATCTTGGAGAGATCTGGGGGGCCTCTTGAAGCGTCGGGAAGCGACGCACTGGTTGCGGACCAACGCGCCCAGCGACTTTCCGTCTCCCTGCACAGGGAGAACGCGCGGGCGGTGTTGCGGCGCCTTCAGACCCTGTCTGGAGGGGTGGGGGTGGCAGCGGCCCGCCTGGCCGCGGCCACGGCGGCCTCCACGGCAGACGCCGTATGAGGTGCCCCTTGCGCTGCCTAGCGCCCCCCGCCCACCCCCCCCCGCCCTTTCTAGGCAGCGCGGGCGCCCCCCGCGCCCTTTCGCCAACGTCGCGCCGGCGACCCCTCCCACGCGCCGCCCGGCCCTTCCCCGGCGGGGCGGTGGATGGATCCCGCAGAGGGCAATCCCCACCAAGCCGCATCGCGCTGGGCTCGGGCGGCCACCCCGCCCAGGTCGCCGCCGTAGGGTCCGTAGCCTCGTCGCGGGTGGCTCTTCTCTCCCTGCCCCTGGCCCGGCCTGTCTGCTTGCGGTCGCTGCTTTCTTTCCTCCTTGTCCTCCTCCTCCCCCTCCTCCCCCACCCTTCGCTTCTGCTCGTTGCTTCCCTACCTTTCCTTTCCTCCTGCTCCCTGCCTGCTGTCTCCGCCTGGCCCGTCTTCTGCCTGCCTGCCTGCCCGCCCCGCCGGCCCTGGCCTCCCACCTGGGCGTTCGTCGTCGTCTGCCTGCTTCTCCCCTCCTCGTCCCCTTCCGCCAGACAGCACAGCCTGCCCGGAACCAGCGTGACGGCATACCCCCTGCGCGGCGCGGCGTGCCGCAGGGCGGCTCGAGGGATTCCCTGGACGCCGGGAAGCCAAAAAAGGCGAAAACGCCAGAATCTGCAAACCTCACGCAGATCACAATTGTTTTCGTTCTTGGGGCCCTATTAGGAAGCGTTTTGGGGGTTGTGGAGGCTTCTGGAGCCGTCTCGAGGCCATCTAGGGCGAATTGGGGCAATCTGTGGGTGTCTCGGGGCCCTCTTGGGCCGCCTCGAGGGCCTCTTGGGGCGCTCTTGGCCCGTTTTGGGACTTTTGGGCTCCAACAGGCCACGCGAGAAGATGCGGGGCAGCCTATGGGGCACGCGGGAAGCTCCAAGATATTTAGGAATTCGAGGTCAGGGCTGTGAAGAAACTCTTCAGGAGTGAGGGCTGGTGTTCAGGGGTCAAAGTATAGGACCTGAGGATACGCCCCGTCCGTGCCCAGAGGCACTGTGGTGGATTTGGTTGCACCGACAGAGTAAGTGCCTTCAATCTGGTGTCAGATTCAGGAGGCACCTCAAGTAAGAAACGAAAGTGCCTGCAGGTGCCCCAAGGAAGTTTTGTATCCCTTTGTGGGTCCCAGGGTCCCACGGAAAATCTAGGGCACCTCGGGACCTTCGGAACACGGCGGCTAATGTGACCTACTGTTTTTGTTACTGTGGAGGCTTCGCGGCCCGTGCCGCTGACCCAAATGGACGACGACGACCACGACGACGACCACGACGACAACGGCAATGACGAGCTGATAACACAGTTACAGGCGCGGGACAGGGGTCGGGCGGTGGGGGGAGGAGGAGGAAGAGAAGGAGGAGGAGGAGGTGGAGGAGGAAAAGGAGGAGGCTGAGGAGGAAAATGTGGAAGAGGAGGAGGAGGAGGAGGAGGAGGAGGAGGAGGAGGGGGAGGAGGAGGGGGAGAAGGAGGCTGAGGAGGATGAGGATGATGATGATGATGATGATGAGGAGGAGGAGGAGGAGGAGGAGGAGGAGGAGGAGGAGGAGGAGGAGGCTGAAGAGGTGGAGGAGGAGGAGGAGGAGGAGGAGGAGGAGGAGGAGGAAGAGAAGGAGCTGCAGAGATGGAGACGCTTCCTTTTCCAAATGCGTATGCAGCAGCTGCACGGACGGAGGGCGCTTCTTCATGACGGGCGTGTCGTGTGGGGATCGATTCGATGTTCATGGTCGAGGTGTTCAGTTGCACGGGTGGGCGCGCCTCCGGTTCTGAACGGGGACCTCTCCGGACACCCCGTGGACTTGCATGACCGGAGTTTGCACCGTAGTGTACGACAGCTCCTCTTCGAGACGGGATCATCGTTCGAGCGGCAGGCCCGTGCGGCTCGCGTCGTTCAGGGTGAAGCCTCCTATAGCGACAAGGAAGCACCTGGGGACATGTGAGGAGTGGGCCTCGGACAGGACGGAGTATCGCATCAGTGTTGGTGCGCATTGGCTTTGCTATGGTCGCCCCCACCCACTCCATTATCCTTCTCCTCCTTCTCCTCCTCCTCCTCCTCCCTCCCTTCTCCCTCCTCTCTCCTCCTCTTCCTCCTCCTCCTCCTTCTCCTCCTGTTCCTCCTCAGCGGCTGTACCCCCCCCCTCGACGGGTAACGTCGACGAGGAGGTCTCTTGAGGTGTCTGGGGGTTTTCTGTGGGTGCGACGTCCTTTTTGGCCAGGTGCTCTTGCATGGGGGAGGGAGAGAGCTGGAAGAGGGGAGAACTTTGCAGGGGTCGGTGGGCTCTGTGTGATTCCACGGGGGGGGGGGCGATGTCCCCGGATGTGGATCACTGGTAATATGAGCAGGGTGGCAATCGGAGTGTGCAACGTAAGCTGCCCATTCCTGGTGGAATTCCAGATTCACGTTATTTGCCTGGTCTTGCTCACTGTTCCCAAACGCTCATGAGATGTTTGCCCAAACGGGGTAGCATTCCATTTTACGGCAGCGCTGCTGTCCGGTCTGCAGCATCGCGCTCGTTCACCGCCGGCGCCACGGCGCTTGAAGTGCCTTTGTCGACATTGGCTCTTCTCAAGTTGCCTTCAGGCCTATTTGATCAATGGTGACGGCGTGGTGGCGAAGTATCGCAAGGTCCCTTGCGGCTCCTTTGCTACGCTTGCCGTGTGGTTGCGAGTGCGCGCGCGACGTTGCATTTTTATGTGGAGTCTTCGCCTCGCTGCTCAACCCCCCCTCCACTGCCATGGGTTCCCAACGCACACAGTCGAAACGCATCAGAAGGATGATGATTCTTCGGAGGGTGTACTTGAATCCCGTCCTCTCGGTCCATCCTTTTCCTTTTCCAGCTTCGGCCTAAATGTGTGTGTGTGTGTGTGCGCAGTGTTCTTGCATCGTCAGCGCGCATCTTTGCGTTCCAGTCGCATTGTAGTCAAATCGCATGTCGTTTCAAACATAGAATGTTCTTAGCAGAGCTCGGAGCCCAAATGCAACAAACCAAACACAACTGAGGGGGTTTTGAAATTAGTGCGATTTCAAGTGCGTGTGTGGTCCCATGGTCCACTCCTCCCCAATCTTGTCTTCGTCCTCATGTTCACCATTCGAATTTCAGAGCGCTAGTATCCAGTGGAGGCCCGCAGAGCCAAATATTTGTTGTCTGGCTGGTGGCATAGCGTACACGTCTGATGTTCCGAGTCGTAGACTGCATCAGCTACGTCTCGCTGAAAGAATGGGTTGTGGCCGTGTTAATTGTGTACTAGTATGTACGAATGATGTAATCGCCTTGGGTGATGGCGCTCGGATTCGTTGGGCCAGTTTTCGGCCACCCGAACTGTGCTCCTGGTATCACACGCGGCTTCCGGGCTGGTTTCCCATGTGGACACGTTTTCAGGCGTAAAGTTTGTCTTCTCGCGTGTTTGCTAGGTGGCCTCCCCTGTCACCCGGCTTCCTGCTGCAAGCTCTGCCACCGTGCCTCGCCTCTGTACCCGGTTAGCAGGAAAGAGGCTCACTGTCGTATCCATTCAAGTTCACACAGGATGCTAGGATGCTGAAGCAGATCGGGTCTTGAGCCCCCCCGCCCTTCTTCATGCAGGCTCGTTCTCCTGGTTCTTCTTCCTCGCTCGTCCTCCTCATCGTCTGTCTCCTCTTCGCTCTCGTTTCGGTGCGCCTTGGAGGCTCTCCTGCCTGGGGTTTCTTGAGGGTCTCTCGGGGGCCTCTTGGAACCGTTATGGGAGCCCTTGGTGGTCTGTTTGGATTTTCTTGGGGCCCCCTGTGGGGCTACTTAAGGGCCCCTTAGGGCATCTCGGTGACGCTTTGGGGCCTCGGGGGCCCTCCTGGGGACGTGTTGGAGGTCTTGGAGACAACCTTGGAGGGAAAGGCCTTCGAGGCCAGCTCGATTTCCGCCTCTTGGGCCTTGCATTGGAGTCCTCTTTGAGACCTCTTCGGCCGTCGTGGGGGGCCTGCTTTGCCGTCTTCGGGCCCCCGAGCGGTCTTGGATCTCCGTCAAGCCGTCTTGGAGTCATCTCGGGTTGTGTTTGGTTCCTCTTGAGACCCTGTTTGTCTTTCTTGGCGCCTGCCTGGGACCGTGTTGGACCAACTAGGGTATGCCAGAGTCGAAAGGGCCAGTGTGCTGAACTCGTGCTAAAATGACTCGTATAGCGTATAGCGTCTGTGAGATTTGGGAGAAGGACCCCACTGGAATCGGCGCAGGGCGGCTGCTTAGGGGAGAGGAGGAAGATCAGCTGATGCCAAGGTGGGTCACATCTGATCCCAGTTCGAGGGTTCATCAAGGGTTAACAGCCTCCCCCCCAGATGGGATGGGCCCTAGGGTTGGACAGGCCCCCACGCCCCCTGGATGGGATGGGGGGGACGACGCCGACGCCGATGCTGATGCCGCCGTCGCCACCGACGACGGCGACGACGGACGACGGCGACGACGGACGACCACGACGACGACGACGACGACGACGACGACGACGACGACGACGACGACGCCACGCCACGCCCAGAGGGCCACGACCAGGGGGGGGGGGACGGTCCCATTCGCGAGGCCTTCGCGAGGCTGACGGGCGTACCCATCCAGCGGGGGTGGGGGCGGGGGGCTCGATCTCATATGCATTGTGGCGGGGGGAGGAGGGGGGGAGGGGGGGCAACCCTGGATCATATCTGGCCTGGCGCCTAGCCTCGCTTCTGGGTGAGTTACACATGCCCCAGCGGCTTAGGGGGGTCAGCGGTCCGGGCTGCGTGGGCTCCAGAGCGCAGTCATGGAAAACCCCCTAGCCAGTTGGGGCACCCGCTTGCAATCTGGGCATGGCCAGGTAGAACCACCGTGGCACCAACTGGTAGACCCCCTGTCCCCTCAGCTGCCCAGACATCCGGCCGCTCCACCTTGTGTTGCTGCGCGTGCCCCAGAGGTCTGGACCACATCCCCAGGGCTGGTTTCTCGTCCTGCCCAGGCCCGCCGAGGGCCCCCGGAGGCTGAAACTAGCCCCGCACCCGCCGCTCCATAATTGTTATGGGGTGCACAGACCTCCTATCCTGACACGTCGATTCGTGAATTGTCGGTCTTCGGTTCTCGAGAGGGCGCCGCGGCCGTTTTTGTTGCCAGGCTTGCGCCCGCCAGATTTGGGCCCGAGGTCATTTTCACTACACCACGTTGAAACTAAAGGGGAGTCTGTCCATCCCCGAGTCGGAAGACATGGGGGCGGAGGATCGCGACGTGTCGCCGATGCATCGGCGATGCATCGGCGATGCGGCTCGATGTGGGGCGCAGTCTTCCCTACGCCGACGCCGCCGAAGCATCGCCGACGTCGCTAGTGCATGGCCGATGCATCGCTGATGCATCGGCGATGCATCAGCGACGGGCCCGGGGCCCACGGGCCGCGCGGCATCGCCGCCGAGCGCGTACGCCTTCCCCGACGACGACGACGACGACGACGACGACGACGACGACGACGACGACGACGACGACGACGACGACCCTCCGACGTTTTACGAAAGGGCGGTCTGTCCATCCCCGACAGTGGCGTCGCGGCTTCCTCCTCCTCCTCCTCCTCCTCCTCCTCCTCCTCCTCCTCCTCCTCCTCTCGACACTCGTCCTCCTCGCTCCCTTTCCTGGGCCTCGCGCCCTCGCGAGGCGCGCGCGTGGCCAATCCAGAAACCCCGAAATCCTCCCTCCCTTTTCCTTCTAAGTTATTCTTCCCTGTCGCATTCCCAGGCGTGTTGGCAGGGGCGTCGGACCTCGGGGCGCCCCCGCGCCGCGAGCCAGCCCCGGGGGGGCACGGGGAGCGGCCCCGCCTCGGACGGCGCAGCCGCGGCGCCCGGCCGAGCCCGGGCGCAGGAAGACGGGCGCCCTCGGCCCTGCGGCGAGGACAGGCGGAGGAGGAGGAGGAGGAGGAGGAGGAGGAGGAGGAGGAGGAGGAGGAGGAGGAGGAGGGAGGAGGAGGGAGGAGGAGGAGGAGGAGGAGGAGGGGGAGGAGGAGGAGGAGGAGGAGGAGGAGAAAGAGGGGGAGGAGGAGGGGCGGAGGAGGAGGAGGAGGAGGAGGAGGAGGAGGAGGAGGAGGGAGGAGGAGGAGGAGGAGGAGGAGGAGAAAGAGGGGGAGGAGGAGGGGCGGAGGAGGAGGAGGAGGAGGAGGAGGAGGAGGAGGAGGAGGAGGAGGGGCAGAGAGGAGGAGGAGGAAGGAGGAGGACGAGGAGGAGGAGGAGGATCGTTATGAAGCACCCGACTCTCTGTGAGGGACCTGAATGTGTTGAGACTGGCTTCTCTGCGGGTGCCGTCCGCGCGGTGGCCCGGCCTACGGCGAGGTGGCCTGGCAGGCGGCTCTCGACGCACGCCTGGCCGAGCGACCACGACGACGACGACGACCTCGGCCTCGATCTCGGCCTCGACCTCGACCTCGACCTCGACGACGAGCGATGACGAGGACGACCACGACGACGACCTCGACCTCGACCTCGACCTCGACCACGACGACGATGACCTCGGCCTCGGCCTCGACCTCGACGGCGAGCGACGACGAGGACGTCCAGCCCCTCTGGGATGCGAATCCTCCTGGAGCTCGGTTTCAGCGGCAGCCCTGGCACACATCCGCGTTCGCAAACCTGCCCGATCCGGCACAGTCCGGCGCAATCTTTGCGAGTCCCGTTTGATTCGGCTCAATGTGGCTTCATCTGGGCCGATCCGGTATAATGGCTCCGTGATCGCTCGCAATGGCCCTTCACCGTCCCCACGAAAACCTGCCTGGAGTTGCCTCCCCCCTCGGTCAGAGGAAGACAAGCTGCACACCCATGAACTTTCGGAGGTCCGCGCGGGTTTCTCGGATCGGCCCTGGATCTTCTTGGCAGCGCTCCTGGCGCCGCTCCAGGGAGGGATCCGAGTAGAAGTCACGGCATGGTAAACACTGTCATCCATCAGTGGCCAGAGTGCGGAAAGCAGAGTCCCGTACCTGGTGAGACTTCGGGTTGCGCACAGACAAGCCTCCCAGGTAGTCCCAGCTGGCCTCAACAGACCCCCCGAGTAGTCCAGCGCCACTTTTATTTGGAAGGGTCTGTTGAGGCGCAACCCGAGGCGTTACCAGCCGCACCCGTACCTTATCCGGCCGCTTCAGCTTTTCCGATGCGAGGGCCCCGAAGGTCTGGAGCACTTCCCTGGGGCCGGTTCTTCGGCCCGAGTCGGTGTTTGGCGGTCCCAGGGCCCGGCGGGGGGCCCCTCCGAGGCTGAAAACGGCCCCAAGCCCGCCGATCCCCTGCAGCCAGCGCGCACAGTGAGGACGCGCGCTTTTGTCCAGGGTGCCCTTGAGTCCCTGCGCGGTTTTTGCCGTGGGCCTCGACGCCAATTTGGCGAAAGGACGGGGGCGGGTCAGCGTCCCCTTTCCCTCCCCGGGGTTCTGGCCGCCCCGCCGCCCAAGAGATCCCAACGTCAGCATCCGGGGGCCACCCGTCCTCACTACGCGATTTTTGAATTGTACTTGTCGGAGCGCCGGAGATCTCTGGGGTGCCCCTTCTCGGCTGCGGCCGCCTCCCCTGGCGCCGCGCCAGCGCCGCCGCGCCCGCGCCGCAGCAGGCGCACCTGAGCTCGGCGGAGCTGCGCTGGGCCACGCCGGGGGGCGCGCTGGCGCAGGTGCGGGGGGACGGCCGCTGACCGGACGCACTGGCACACTCGCGACCGACGACGGACGCCAGCCGCCAGGGGCAAAGATAGGGGGGGCAAACGCACGGGGGGAAACTCACGGACGCACGGGCGCACGGACGCACGGACGCACGGACGCACGGACGCACGGGCGCACGGGCGTACGGACTCGCGGGCGTATTGGCGCACGGAAGGACCGCTGACTGGACGCACCGACCCGGGGGGGGATGCGCATAGAGGGGGGGGGATGCATTTACCCCCTATCGCCCATTGATCGCCCATAAGAGGCCTGATGGCCCCACCCCGCCCAGAGCGTGCGGACTCGCTATCAGGGGCCTACCGCGGATGTACCGGCGATGTGTCGCCAATGTCCAGGTCGGCGTTCCTTCCTGGTGCCGGTCCCCCCCCCCATCGTTGCCCCATCATGGGCGGACGGTCGCCCGACTGCCGAGTCTTCTCGGGGTTCGGGGTTCGAGGTTCGAAGCTGGCATGGCACAACAGCTCAACATCACATCAAGGACAGCGAGCAGCATAGCACAGCACGACACAGCATAGCCACACGTCGACTAGCATACCTCGCACATCAGGCCACAGCATCGTATCTCACACCGTGCCACCACACATCGTAGCATAACGCAGAACCGCAGATCACGGATTAGCACGGCATTACATGACATGCCAAGGCATACCATGAGATATCGTATCGTAACATATAACAGCACAGCAGAACATAGCAGAGTAGGCCAGGTCATGCCATGACAGAACCGAGGATAACAACACACAACACCGAATAGCACACAAGATAACAGCGCGCGCTGGCCAATACAAACAGGCCCCCATTGCGCGTTGTTCCAGGAGACGCGCGCGCTGTCGGGACCAGACGCCGAAGGTCCTGGTGGGGATCGCTCGAAGCAAAAGCAGTGCTTCAACCCGCAGACCACAGTTGCCGACCGCTTCCCTAGAGGTAGTTTTAAGTCGGGCCTGTCCCCCTACAGGGGGAATTTCGACGAACAATAAAACATGCCCTAAGAATACTCCAAATAGGTAACACATACGAATTACGCTACCGAGGCACCCCACATACTTATATAATGGCTGGGGTGATGATAGCTGAAGTGAAGCATGTGATAATGATGTTGGTGGCCATTGCCCCGCCGATGCCGTAAGGACGACCGTCACGGACAGCGGCGGCGCTCAGGGACCACCCCGTGCGCACCCCCTGTGGTGTCGAGAAAACGCCACGCCTGTTGTGCCCTGGACTGGACGACCGTCACGGATAGCGGCCGCGCTCAGGGACCACCTTGTGCCATCCCCTGTGGTGTCGAGCAAACGCCACGCCTGCTGTGCCTTTGACGTTCGTCACGGATAGCGGCCGCGCTCAGGGACCACCCCGTGCGCACCCCTTGTGGTGTCGAGAAAACGCCACGCCTGCTGTGCCCTGGACGACCGTCACGGATAGCGGCTGCGCTCAGGGACCACCCCGTGCGCACCCCCTGTGGTGTCGAGAAAACGCCACGCCTGCTGTGCCCTGGACGACCGTCACGGATAGCGGCCGCGCTCAGGGACCACCCCGTGCGCACCCCTTGTGGTGTCGAGAAAACGCGACGCTTGCTGTGCTTTGGACGACCGTCACGGATATTGGCCGCGCTCAGGGATCACCCCGTGCGTACCCCTTGTGGTGTCGAGAAAAACGCCACGCTTGCTGTAACCTGGACGACCGTCACGGATAGCGGCCGCGCTCAGGGACCACCCCATGCGCACCCCCTGTGGTGTCGAGAAACACCACGCTTGCTGTGCCCTTGA